CAGCTGGTACAAAAGGGCCCTTCTTTAGAGAAGATCACAATGTATATAGGGGCTGAGGGAGATGCCAACTGTGCTTTACTCATCTTTGGTCAGTGTACTTCAGAACCATCAGTAGGCCCGGGGTCCTGTTTCTTTTAATGGAAGAGAGAGGCTAGCAACACTTTCCCAGATGGTTTATTATAACACTGTAAGCCTTACAGGCCAGAGTTCAAATCACTGGGCTCACCCTAGAGTTACTGTTCCTTTACGTCCTCTGTACACAAAGTAAACTCTTTGAGATAATGGAAGGGAAGAGATCCACATATTACCCAGCCCTTTCCACTTAGATTCCTTCCTCACCAGTGTCCCTCAGCATAAATGCCTTGAGATTTTGCCTCTCCCTGGAGTTCATATGGCCATGCTTGTCATGTGGCTGGCTTTTACTACCTGTGTTTTCAATTGATGGCCACCAGGGCAGGTACTTGGGGTATAGAAAGCAGTGTGAGATGCTGGCCATAGTAGGAAGTGAATACCTTCAGGACTTAGCCAAACAGCCTATCCTTTGCTCTCATTCAAGGGCAAAGGTGTCTAATTGCCATCTAACTCCTGTTCAAAGTAAATGGCAGTTAAATGGCTGTTCTGCCCATTAATGCCTTTATAAACCTCCTTCAGATTTCTGTCCAATCTTTCTAGTCTACTTCTTCAGGTGGGATTCTTGAGACTGTAACTCGGAAAGCAGTTACAGGTCCTCCTGGTCTCTACTAGGACAGACTTTTGCTTTACTACTATGGCAGTATTTATTATGTATTATGGTGCCTGAAAGTGAGGTAAGCCCCTTCCAGAGCCAATAAGAAGACTCGTTGCCCACGCTGAAGAACTTAAACATCTAATTGCAACTGTGACTCAACAAGGGGTAGTAACAGCATAGTAGAGAGGAGGTGGGAAAACACAGACAAATCAGTGGGACGTTTCCAGTGAATAGCTGCTCACTAGCATGGAAAAGGTGTTGACAGGTTGGGCCTGAGCCATTGGCTGTTCAGGTCAAGAGTGACGGTGAAAAGTGATAAAGTGACCCTGAATCTCTTTTTATTTCACAGAATAGGAGATGTGAGAGCACACCCATTACTTCCCGTTTCCCCTTGCGAGTGAGCCTCAGCATTTAGGGCTGCCAGGGTCCACTCTCCATGCTCATTCTATCTCCGTCGTAATTATCAACAAGGGTGGTGACACTCATGGTGCTTTTCAGTGGGGTGGAACCCCAGGCACTGGGAATCAGGCTGACGTCCCTCATTTGTCTCCTGTGGGCTACCAAACAGCCAGAGCACACTAGGAGTTTTCTGCCGTGGTTACTGATTTGAGCCAGTCTTGTTTTAAAGACTGAACTCATATATAATAAACAAAACAGTGATACCCTGGGAGGTGGAGGAGGCGAGCGAAGCTTGTTTCTGTTCTGAGAACCTGCTTGTCTACTACAAATATTTTCTATAAAATCATATAAAAAAAGGCGTCATCCACATAACAGCCCCATAGTCCCCTCCCGTATCTGTGAGTATTGCTTTTATGAAGCAAATAAAATGAGATTAGTAAGATCTATTTCCTTCCTTGAATGCTCTTCGGAGCCAGGCTAATCTTCTGTTTTTGACCTTCTAATACAGCCTCATCCTGCAAGGTGCTGAGGAGTCCCAGAGAGATGCTGTGTACACTTGGCTCTCCATGAAAGGGGTGCTCAGAACCTTGCAGGATTGGGCCCAATGTGCATCTTACAAAGATGTGCCAGATGACTAGAACTAGTCAAGGCTGGTTTTGAGTAAGATGCAAGAATGACTAATCAGATGCTAATTTAGCTGATGTTGGCATTACTTTGTGGCTTGGGGCACAGTCCAAGGATAAAAAAATAAATCTTATCTAAGCGGAGAGTCATTTGTATGGGATTAGTTACAACGTAGTCTTTAAAAAAAAGAGAGAGAGAGTTAGAAATCTAGGAAAATCCCATCTACAGTTAACACTTTGCAAAGTCTAGAATATCTCCCTGATACATGGGGAAAATCCTTGCTGCCTGAAAGGTAAATTTGACTTGAGTAAATGAGGTCAAAGAGAGTGAATCTAAGATTTTTCAAAACTTGATTTTGGCACCTTTCTTGTTAGTTGTGTTACAGGGTTTGCTAGATTACATTGCACTCCACTGATAATGGGTTCATTCAGAGTTCAGGCTATTTGGCAACCCTCTAATCTTGGCCAAGAGTCTTCCTTTTGGAAAAGCCTCTGCCTGTTCCTCAAGACCCTTCTCTCCTCCAAATTCAACAGGATGTCAAACTGGATCCCATAGAATGCCTGTGTAGGAAGGAGTCTCTGAAACACAAGCAATGTCCTTGAGGATGGAGTTGTAAAATGAGGGAAGATGTCAAGGCACCTTGACGGTGATAGCACCCACATTCCAAACACGTAAAAGTATACTGCATTCCTGACAGACACCACTGCACATGTGAGTTTCATTTCCAGTCTTCTTGCTCCCAACTCCTCAATCTTAATAACAAAAAATCTTGAGATTCTATGCAAAACTCTGAAATAAAAATAAAAGAAAATATGGAGCACTTGGAACTTGACAGGAGAAACTGGAATATTGCCTGAGACTTCAAAACACAGACTGTTATTGAGAAAGAAATGTTTATTTTGGCATGATTTTGAACTGTCCATAACCAAACAACAAATATCAGAAGACTGTGCAGAACACTGTCATGTCACTTCCAACTATTTTATTAGTTTCAACACTTCACTTTGACTGGTACCTTCTGCCTTAAGGGCCTTTATCAACAACAACTTAGACCATGGTCTCCTGAACACTGAAAGATTGAGCCTGGACAATAGAAGGGAGAAGAACAGAGATGCTGTAGGTAGGAGATGTTGGTGATTCAAAAGATCTAACAGTCTCCCGTTGGGTCAGCACTGAACCAATGCCTCCATGTTGTTAGGGGCAATATGATGACAGAAGTATTGGATGAGAATTAAAACTAAGGTCTTGACTACTGTCGACGTTGTATATTTTTCTATCATGGGTTTCATTTATCGATGCATTTGTGGACTTAATTATCCCCTGGCACATGACTAGTGATATCAACTCCAGTGTCCTGCCCAAATTCTGGATTGGTTAATTACATCTGCCTAACTTACAAGTCCTCTGTAGTTTCAACTGGGAGCAGGGCTTGTCTTCACTCCCATTCTAAACTTGAGCTATCGACCGTTAAATAGTTGCCATGGTTACCTCAGAGCTGTCAGCACTTCAATGGTGGGTCAAGTTCCACATATGCAATTGTACCCCACATCCCCTGATCCTGCTCTTTTTACATTGGCAACATTTCTATTGCTGATGGCAGGTTTAGGGCTATAATTTGTGGGAGCGCAGGTAAGCTGTCTGGATGCAAGTTGCAATTAGAAATAAACAAAACACCTAATGTATTCAATGAACTTACTCCTTTCTTCTGTTTGCAAACTATCCATGAACAGACGTAGATTATTATGAATTTGCTCATTGTTCAAATGTTTTATATGAACAGCTCTCTAAATCTGAGGTTTGTTTGCAAACTATTTGCATCCACGACACCTTTTCATGGCTTGCGCTTTGTCATTCTTGGTGTGTGATTGGTCAGCTAAATGTCACATAGCGTTGTTTGCAATACCTTATTGGATAAATGAAATTTTTTATTAAAAAGGAAGGGGAAAATTAAGGTGAGTTCAAGATTGCTGTGTGATTACTTCTGTCACGACTCTCCATGCAAACATATATGCATGAGTATTTGCAAGACTTCATTTTCTGCAAACATCCTTCCAAACAAGAATAAATCACCTCCATGAATATTCATGAATGGGAAGGAAGGATTGTTCAATGGTTAGGGCACTAGCCTGGTACTTGGGAGACCCACTCTCAAGTCGCTGCTGCTGTGGATTTCCTGTGTGACCTTGGGCAAGTCACATAGGTCCAAATCCTCAAAGGTATTTAGATGTCTAACTTGCATTGAAATCAATGGAAGTTGGGCAACTAACTACCTTTTGAGGATCTGGGCCTTTGTCTCTCTGTCTCAGTTCCCCACCTGTCAAATGTAGCATCTATAAAAGGTTCCTTCCTACCTCACAGGGGTGATATAAGTATAAATACATGAAATACTCTATGGCACTGCTCAGATACCATGGTAATGGGGGCTATATAAACACCTTAACTGGAATGTTTGTGGCAAACAGATAAAACAGGTTGTGAATATCACAGATGTGACTTTGCAGGGTGTGTGTGTATGGAGGGGGGTGTTGGGGGGTGTTGGGGGGTGTTAGAATGAAAGTCTGAGAGTCCCGTTTGTTTTTTATTTATTTTGCAGTACTCATCTGTCTCTAGACTCCAGAGTCTAGAGGTTTGAAAGCTCATTGAAGCCAATGGAAGTCTTTTCATTGGCTTCACTGAGTTTTGGATTAGGCAGTAAGTACTACACACATGCGAAGCCTTATGGGTTCTGGTCCTCTGTAATACTGATTCCTTTCCCCCCGCCACTGGCTCAAGTGACTCCACCTGGCATTTTTACAAGGGCAGATGGCAAATGGCAGAGAAAAGTATCATTGAAGTGACCCGAGTGCTAAGTGACACGACCCAGAGCTTTGCCCTGAAAGAACAGTTCACCGTGCGAATGCCTCACTGCTACACTTTTCAAAATGTTTACACAGGGATTACCATAAACCACACAGTGTTGAACAGAGGATGCAATCCAAGCTGATTTAGCCCAGGCCTTATCTGCGTCATATAATCATGATACAGGACACAGACACACAGGTAGAGAGAGAGAGAGAGAGAGAGAGAGAGAGGTAAAGACTGGACCTCTTCCCCTCCAGCCTTCTCTTGGCACTGGGAGGGGACTGTGGGGGAGCTGGGTAATGATTTGTCACTCCAAGGTCTTGGGGTTGTCTCTCTTTGCAAAGGAAACCTTGGCCATGATTGACAGCAGGGCTGTTTTGGCCTGTTCCATTGCTGTTGACAAGTAATAATGAAGCTTTGTCAAACCATAATGGATATGGATATGCCAGATTATGTCGAATCCCTGGACTCCTCTTACACCATGCTCGAGTTTGAAAACCTGCGGGTGCTGCCAGCTAACACTGGTGAGATTTCTGCTCAATTCCTTTTAAATAACCCCGGTTACCTTTGTGGAAAAGTTGGACTCCTAGAAAAGCTAGATAGGAGGTGTGGGGCAAAGGGTGGATGGTCTAATATTTACAGCAAGGAACTGTCCACCTTTGTTGTGGTTATGGTTGTGTTCAGGCCAGAGTACAATCGGTCTCTTAAAGACTGAAATGCATGGGGTTGTTGTTAGTTATTTATTCAGCCCCCTAGTGTGCTGGCTATGTTGCAAATAAAGACCCTGCCCAGAAGAGCTTGCAATCTGTTACGAACAGTTTCAATATCGGTGGTTCTCTGTATATGCGTTCTGTTTTATTTCTAAGAAGCAGCGAAATTACTTCGCACACAAAGAAAAATTGTTCTCCTAAAATGACATAGACACAAATGTATGGTGATACTTGTAGGGGAAAAAAGACAAGTGTGTATATATACATGGTTTGAGCAATTTAATCCTTATAACTGCCATCTATGTTGTTACTCACAAAATACACTGTGAGCTGAGGTCACTTTATCAAAGATATTTAGCTAGTAAAGTAAATATCCAAAAGTTCTGATCACCTACCTGGGAATTACAGCTCATTTACTAAGCTTGACCCAAGTCTTTTCAACACACAAGGAATATGGCTATAATGTGTGCTTGACCCTAACAAATATCTGCCTTGTCCAGAGAACTCCAGGAAAGTTGCACAGCGGCATTTGGGACCGGAGCATTCAGAAGTTTGTTTGATGTCATTTTAAATAGTAAACACTCTTCTAGAAACACTAGTCGTCCACCGCCTGAAATGTGAGGTGAAGGACGTTGTAAATTACGCAATGTAAGTCCAACATCATAAATAAAATTGGGAACAGTCCAGCCTGCCTGGATAGTCTAAGTAAGTGAAATGTCAAGAGGTTTATTCTAGTTAAGATTAATTTCTTACTGCATCACTTATACTTGCTCATTAGTGGTTTCATCAAAAGGAAATCAGGAACAACAGCTTTCAAAATGTGTTTTGCCAGCAACTCAAAGTTATTCTGCATGCTTATGTGGGACACAAAGGATTTCAGACCTTATGCTCAAAGGAAAATGAAAAGGCTCAAAGAAAATGAGAATTGTAAACTGATTTCAAGAAAAGTTCATCCCTTGGAAAAAGACTTTTGAAAAGTTTGGCAGCTCAAAATTGAGTATTTTAGATTTCATGTTATTTTCACGGAAGGGTTTCCATTTGCTACTATGTCTTCAGTAAAGATGATGTGCCCTGTCACTCGCTTCTTGAACAACAAGATACATTTTTTTATCCATTGCACAAATTGTCCCCAAATCCAATGTAACTGTGACATAAAACCCTGTATTTTTGTGGTGTTTCATTAGGTGAAAATTACAGGCTCCGTTTTTTCTAAAGGCGAAGGCTATCTAAGTTGGTATTGGACTATTTGCCTTATTGTTAATAACTAACTGGCTCTCTCGGGAACTAGCTGTTTTGAAATTAGCTTGTTTGTCTTTGGTAAGTAGCCTCTTCTACTGTTTGTGAGAATAGTTTTAAAAAGAGAGGGGAAATCTCTATGCATGAAAATATATTCCAAACCAAGTTTCCAGGATGCATGACTTCCCAATCTGACTCCTTTAGCAATATTTTTATAAAGTATTAAAATAGAAAAATATTCTCACTTTAGATAGTGTTTATAAAAAACAGTGAAATAGTTCAAATTAAATCTATATACATTTTTGCAGGACCCTAGTTTGTTCCCACTGAAACCAATCGAAATTTGGCCCTAGACTTCAGTGGGAGCAGGATCAGGTCTTCAATATATATATTCTGATGACTTTAGGGCCTTATTCTGAGTTTACAAGATTCTGATCATCCTTACACTGGTATAAATCCAGTGACTTCAGTGGAGTTACTCCTGATTTACCCTGGGGTAAATCAGAGCAGAATCAGGCCCATAATGTTCTTTCTAAAATGTATTAATCACTTAATGAAATTATATGGCAGCAAATTTAATATGGAGAACAGGAAATTCCAGGTCTTTCTGTGATTTATAATTAACTGGTGGAACTCACTGCTGCAAGATATTATAGGAGCCAGTAGTGATTACGGGTTTATTTTAAAATATAAGTAAAATATAAAGGTATATTTAAAAATAGAATGTGTAATTATACTTAGCTAGGATAAAAAAAAAGATAAGGGCTCTCAGTCCTCATATTTCAAGGCATAAAATGATCATGAGCTGAGAACAGGAACTTATTTCCTTTGTGGAGTATATTAATGCACTATATCTGGGTGGAGTACGCTTTCCTTTGAAACATATAACACTCATGATTCTAAGAGAGAGGATACCAGACTAGCAGGAAGATTGGTCTGTTCCAGTATGGTAGTGGTAAAGGGTGTTAGTCTAAATGTGTCCTTAACATTTAAAATCATCATAGTTTTGTGTTTGTATAATTACAGTAGCTATGGATAAAAGGTTATGTTTAAAGGAGCTCCATGAAATTGTCAGTTCTTCTGGGTTAAGCTAGTGGAATTGGACACTTGTCAAATACTGTGGCAATATCAGAAGCACCTCTTGAAATTTGGCTTTCCCATAAAATCAGTATTTTCTTTATACAGCTTGTCAAAGATAAGCTCCACCCACAAACTAATAATAAGTGGGCAATAAATTAAGTGGACCTAGTTAGCCAAAAGGTGAGTATATGTCATAAAAATTTCAAAAGAAATAAACATTTTTCATTTATTTCAAAGATTTACATGATTTTTAATGAACAATTTCAAAATGAAATACTTGGAATTTTTTCCAAGAATTTTATTTTTTATTCTCTTGAGGGAAAAAAATACTATTTTCTCTTGCTTTTCTACTATTCTCCTTTGAAAACTGGGAGGAGAAGTAAAAAAGAAAGAGAAAGTATTTTTCCCAATGAAAATTAAAACTTTTGTCAAAAAATGGGAAATTTCAAGGAAACTAGTGCTGTTTTGTAAAACATTTTTGCTTTCTTTGAAACACCATTTGTCATCAAAATTTGCCATTGATCGAACAATTTCAACCAACTCTTAAGTTAACCTTACTTTTTTTAGCTATTATAAATTTCTTTTTACATGAGGGAAGCCTATGAATTAATTCTGAATCTTCAAGCTTCTTAGTACTTTATATACAATTGGCAAATGTGGTTAATGTAGCAAAGGTTAATTCAGAAATGAATAAAGGGATCCACTGTGGGAGTGGAACATGGCATTAAAATGTTGTCTATTTCAGATAGAAAGAGTGGCACACACACAAAAAAGAGGGAAAATCAATATTAGTCTTTTCTCTCCTTTATAGAGTGTTATTAACTGGAGAAATATTCCTGCTTGATACAATCCTGTTTTATTTTATCTTAGCTACAATTGCATCCTTCTTGTTACTTAGTCCGTTATGTGGTGCTCATTGCATATTTCATCACAGTTATCATTTTCTCTGTAAATTTACATTAATCACTTGGCCAATTGCAGTATAAATAAAGCTCCTGTCTTTGGTGATTCCTTTACCTACCATAGCATTCAACAGCCAAACTGAGTCTGAAGAGTTCAGTGTGACCCTTTTAAAATCTCACTCTCAGCCAAGCTGCAATCTGACCCTTGTACACTCATAGTTAAGGACAAGTCCAGCTAATGAAGATAATTATAAAGCAATAAGAAATGTTCTGCCAGTTAGAGGGTGTGAATGTATGAATATTCCACGAGGTATCAAGCTGCTTGTAAGGAGCTTTGTCCATGCTGATAGCTCTCTGATAGGTCAGTTACTGTGTGGGTTTAGGAACAGTTAATCTAGGTTGGTTTTGATTTTGATCTTTAGAATACCTCAGATTGTTGGGGGTTGCAAAAAACTGATTTATAATGTAGTTGAATTGCATCAGAGCAATGTTTCAAAGTGGGCTCCAGTCCGGCCTCTGAATTTGCATGCTGCCATTTTGGAGCTGGCCATACCACTCACATTTTTATGTGTCCTCCAAATTTAGATTTACAAACAAAAACTGAAAATCTGGCGCATTTAAATCCAGTTTTAGTGCGTACAAAATTGGTAACTAAACATTATATGCACGCCATATCATTTTAGGTACATGAAAAGTTTTTAAAAATGTGACCTATTATGTCATTGCAGTAATCTAAGTCTTGTCTGGGGCATGGATGGAAGGCTCTATCATCCCTCTTCAGATATCCACTAAAGACCTTATCATTACTGGAAGTAGATCTTAAAAGCAAAATTCAGATCTGAAGTGAATTCTGAACCCTAATCCAAATTTTGGGGCATTCAAATCTTGTGTGTTGATGAAGGCCCATTTTATCTTCTTATTTATTGTTTGTACTGCAGTAGTATCTAGTGGTCTCCACCAAGATCAGGGCCCCCGTCTAAATAAAGAAAACAAAACAGGTGGAGGGGAAAAAGTGACTGTCCACGGTCAAGTGGCAGAATAATAGCTAAGCAGGGAATTAAACCCAGGTAGCATAAATTTTACAAGGAGCGGTAGCTGAGTGGTGAAGGCACTCGACGTAATCACAGCAGTCATGGATTCATGTCTTGCTCAGTCTCTCACTGAAAGGTTACCTCCTGCTCACCCAGCTGCAGAATGGGTACCTGTTCCATAAGCTTAGGGAAGTCAAAGGTGTTTAGACATGATGGTAGCTGCATCACTCTGTTGTGTACTGTTGGCTGCAGAAACAGACATGCCTAATCATGTCAGCATGGTGAGCCATTTAAGGCAGACTTTGATCTTCAGTCTCAACCACAAGACCACCCTTACTCTCATTTGCTGTAATTGCATAATTTAATGTCTTCATTTCAGCCATGCTTTGCTATTGATTTATACACAGTATATACCAGAGATCATTTCTGGTCTCCCATCTAGATCTGAACTTTCCTGAGTTTGACAGAGGTTTTCATATAATTTTTAGCTATTAGGCTAGGCTATAAATTCCCAGAGTTTATGTTGATGATACATCACTTCTGAAACTCAGGCAAGTCTTGGATTTCGAGAGTAATTTTTCTGCCAGAGAATTTTGGCAGCAAATACGCTTCAGTGATACTCCCAGGGAGTAGACTGATATTTTCACTGCAATGACCATTCTATTCTGTCCAGAAATCATCCAGGACTAGGATCAGCTTTTCAGACTATATCTAATGACTGGTCCCTATTTGAAAGAACGCCATCAGGTGCATCCTTCTAGCTAAAGACCAACAGATGTCTCACAGGAAAAGTTTTAGGAAAGGTTCTGTTTAAAGACAGTTCTGTTATATTATGGAGATGAGCAACTGTAACTCTTACACAATGCTGTGTGTTTGTGTTGGACTAAGTATATGTCCTCTAGTGACTATGTATCTCTGCCTCCTTTAGTAGAACTCAGTCCACCCCCAAACTTTATGTAGGTTGAAAATCCAGATCCAACGTTTGCAACTCGAGCATGTATCTAGTGACATTTTCATTAAAACAGGATGTTTGTTGTTCATTTGCTCTTCCTTATTCGGAGTCAGTCAGTACTTTGTGATGGGGTATAAATAGTGATTTGACATTTGTACGCACACTGGCTGAGGGGCTAACTACTGCCAACCATATCACTATCATCTTCGGAAAAGGACACGTCATTGCACATGGTGGCCTGAACTTTGGACTGATTTATGCTGCTTTGGGTTAATGAATCCTCGCCTAATTTTACAGCTATACAATTCCATTGAAGTCAGTGGTATTTTCATAGGTGTAAATTAGGGCAGAATTTGGTCCTTAACTTCAAAGAGAGCATGAGACTCCTTTGATGCACCATGGTGTCTCAGCCACAGGGAGAGACAGTAATGCATCATGGGAGGTGCAGTCTGGCCAGAACTGGGTCCATAGAGGAGGACGGGGAACCCAGAACTACAACTCCCACTAGGCAACTGCAGAGATTAATGCCAGTTTGAAACAAAATGAAATGTTTAATTTTCATATTCCCAGTGGAACATTTTCCCAACTGATCTTTTCTCATAGAAAATTTTGATGAAACCTCATCGGATGAGAAAATGTTTCATTCAAATTTTTTCAACTGGCTCTAATGACATCAACATTGTGGTTAATAACATCAACATTGTGGGTGTACTTGGATACAGTGAGCTACCAGTGCATTAATAAAGGGCCAGATTATGCCCAATTTACTCACTGAGTAATGCTTTCCTCACTGAAAATCAGTGGGACTGCTGCTGAGGTGAGCTATTACTTGGCGTGAGAAAGGCTAGCAGAATTGGACCCCAAAAGTCTGGAGCTGAAGCCTGCAGCCTTTGCTCAAGCAAAGCTCCCATTGACTTAGCTCCAGATAGAGAAACCCTCACTGATGTTGTGAGCAGTTACTCACTCAGTGACTTCAATGCAATTACTCTTTGTGCATGGGTTTCACAGTCTGGCCTTTTCCTGGGATATTTGCCCATAAGAACTGGGCTCTATTGAAAAATGAAAAGCCCACTGGATCCAAATTCTGTCCTGAATTGCCTTGGCCCAACTCCACTGAAGTCAACGTGGGTTGCATGGATGTAACTGAGAGAACTGACTTCCTTATTTATAATTTTTGTGGTGCAATTTTTTTTTTACTGGAACTCAGAATGAAATAACCAATGAGACTTTGTTTACTGTGGCCAGGATAACCATATGCTTGTTCAGGAAAGAAATAGGTGGGTCAAGAAGCTGCAACCACTATTGACACAATACAATACACTGGAGAGATTGTTCCAATAAAGTTCATTCTATGCTTAACCGTCACAAATGTAAGACTGGCAAGATCAGTGTAAACTTGGGTTGTCTGCTGCCTGAGGGCTTTATCTCATGAGATATTGAACATCTTTTCCAAAGGGCTGACCACTCACCACCCACTGACATCAGTGAAAGCTGGGGGCATGGCACCTCTTAGAATTTGAAAAGTAGCAAATTGTGATTCCTGAACATACTATTGGCTAAGAATTATGCACTTATTAATGAATATTTATTTATTTATTTTATTAGGCTACCTTTTCCCCCTATCCCATACTATGGCTCACTTGTTTGCCTCATCCACCTGTTACACCTTGTCATTTAGTTAACAAGCATTTGGGGGCCAGGGCTGTCACTTCTTATGTTTGTACAATGCCTAGCCTGACCGGCTGGCTCACAAGGCACGACCACAAGAATAATAATAATTAATGAAGAAGTCACGAGAGCTGGTAGACATTTTTTTGGTTGAGAAAGTATCTTCAACAAAAATACAGCGTTTCATCAAAAACAAATGTCACTTTTTTGATACAAAATTTCAGTTTACAATAAAACTGGATTTTTGGGGAAAATGTTCAGGTTTTGAAAACTAAAGACTTTTAGGTTTTCATGGGAAAAACAATTTTTTTTTTCATGTGAAATTTTGATGAAAAAGAAATGAAGCAAATTTCTTTTTGAAATTTCCCTTGTAAAACAATTGGCATTTTCCGACCACCTCTGAAGGCCACCCATTCTAACTGGGAAGAACATTCTCAGAGTTTTAATTCTGAGTATCGTTCTGTGTCCTGTGTTACCTCTTCCTGTTTGGGCTTGCTATTCTCTCTTGGGTTTTCTCCCCCTCATCATGATATAAACTGAGGTTTCCCCACTATCGGTTTGATCCTGGGAAGTGCTGAATGCCCTCCCATCCTATTGACTTTGTTGATGATCTCACCACATCACAGAGTCAGGCCCTATATACTGGAAAACACGGTCCTGACTAATGCTAACAAAAACCTTCCACCTGGGCACCCCTGAAGAAGCGATCTGCGTCATCTGGCTCTTTTCAGAAGTGTCTCATTTCCAAACTGCACCCACAATTATAAAGATTAAGAGGAAGGCTGGTCTTGTGGTTAAATTCAGTGCAGAATTTTCAAAAATGTGTAAATTGTAGGGGCCAAATTTTCACAGTGGTGTCAATTCATCCTCTAAAACTTGTGCCTGCAAGTTTTGTGAGTGCATGAGATGTGGCTTCTTAATGTGAGCTATCTAGCTACCCAACTTACACACCCAAACAGCTCCCATTAAAGTCCATGGAAAGACATTCATTAACCTTGATAGGAGGCACTGGTAGCTACAGTTTCTGGGTTTCTTGGAAGAAATTTAGAAGTTGTTTTCAACAAAATGGCCCTGTGCACATCCTTATTAGTACTTTGAGGGTCCTGAAAATGGTATGGGTTCCCCTCTGCTTAGAAGCAATGGCGTAGGCTTGGTGTGTGTTTACATGCCATTATCTTTGAAAACTCGTGGCGAACCGGGGAAGTCCCGGATGACTGGAAAAAGGCTAATGTAGTGCCAATCTTTAAAAAAGGGAAGAAGGAGGATCCTGGGAACTACAGGCCAGTCAGCCTCACTTCAGTCCCTGGAAAAATCATGGAGCAGGTCCTCAAACAATCAATCCTGAAGCACTTGCATGAGAGGAAAGTGATCAGGAACAGCCAGCATGGATTCACCAAGGGAAGGTCATGCCTGACTAATCTAATCGCCTTCTATGATGAGATTACTGGTTCTGTGGATGAAGGGAAAGCAGTGGATGTATTGTTTCTTGACTTTAGCAAAGCTTTTGACACGGTCTCCCACAGTATTCTTGTCAGCAAGTTAAGGAAGTATGGGCTGGATGAATGCACTACAAGGTGGGTAGAAAGCTGGCTACATTGTCGGGCTCAACGGGTAGTTATCAATGGCTCCATGTCTAGTTGGCAGCCGGTATCAAGTGGAGTGCCCCAAGGGTCGGTCCTGGGGCCGGTTTTGTTCAATATCTTCATAAATGATCTGGAGGATGGTGTGGATTGCACTCTCAGCAAATTTGCGGATGATACTAAACTGGGAGGAGTGGTAGATACGCTGGAGGGGAGGGATAGGATACAGAAGGACCTAGACAAATTGGAGGATTGGGCCAAAAGAAATCTGATGAGGTTCAATAAGGATAAGTGCAGGGTCCTGCACTTAGGACGGAAGAACCCAATGCACAGCTACAGACTAGGGACCGAATGGCTAGGCAGCAGTTCTGCGGAAAAGGACCTAGGGGTGACAGTGGACGAGAAGCTGGATATGAGTCAGCAGTGTGCCCTTGTTGCCAAGAAGGCCAATGGCATTTTGGGATGTATAAGTAGGGGCATAGCGAGCAGATCGAGGGACGTGATCGTTCCCCTCTATTCGACATTGGTGAGGCCTCATCTGGAGTACTGTGTCCAGTTTTGGGCCCCACACTTCAAGAAGGATGTGGATAAATTGGAGAGAGTCCAGCGAAGGGCAACAAAAATGATTAGGGGTCTGGAACATATGAGTTATGAGGAGAGGCTGAGGGAGCTGGGATTGTTTAGCCTGCAGAAGAGAAGAATGAGGGGGGATTTGATAGCTGCTTTCAACTACCTGAAAGGGGGTTCCAAAGAGGATGGCTCTAGACTGTTCTCAATGGTAGCAGATGACAGAACGAGGAGTAATGGTCTCAAGCTGCAGTGGGGGAGGTTTAGATTGGATATTAGGAAAAACTTTTTCACTAAGAGGGTGGTGAAACACTGGAATGCGTTACCTAGGGAGGTGGTAGAATCTCCTTCCTTAGAGGTTTTTAAGGTCAGGCTTGACAAAGCCCTGGCTGGGATGATTTAACTGGGAATTGGTCCTGCTTCGAGCAGGGGGTTGGACTAGATGACCTTCTGGAGTCCCTTCCAACCCTTATATTCTATGATTCTATGATTCTATGATTCTATGTTTCGAGTGGAGGGCGAGTGTGTACAATTATGTGCATATGTCAATGCTTTCATTTCATCCTGATTCCTGCTAAAAAGGCCTCACTGACTCTGTGTCTGGTCTGCAGAACCCATAGCAGCAGAGTCGACAAATGCCAGCCTGCTTGCCAACGGCATCAGCTCCTTGTGCTCCATCTGCGGGGACCGTGCCACTGGGAAACATTACGGGGCTTCCAGCTGCGATGGCTGCAAAGGGTTCTTCAGAAGAAGTGTCCGCAAGAATCATGTCTATTCGTGCAGGTATTAAACACTGCTGGGCTTCGACATTGTAAGCTCTTTGGAGGTAGAGACCATCTCTTACTATGTCTCTGTACAGTGCATGGCACAATGGGGCCTCTATCTCAGTTTGGGCCACAGGCGGTAACTGTAATATACATAACAATAATGAAATCTGGTTTTCTAAGCACAGGATTGGGAGCTGGGAATTCCTGAATCCTAGTTCCATCTCTGACCTGGATTCCTTCCTTCTGTTACCTGAAATAATCCCCTTGCTGTTTCTGTTTCTCACTTTTCCCACCTGTAAAATAGGGGACAATTATATGCCCAGGGAACTTGTGAGGACTGGTTAATGTATGCAAAGCACTAAGTCCTATTATCAGGTTCTCGCTTGGTGAAGTTTGACCCAACGATCTTAGCGAATGCCATCGTGGCAGTTCCATTGCATTTTCTCTGTGTTAATTACAGTTTAAATCCGCAGGTCTCCAAAACTGGTCACCTCCCAAGCCTGCCCCTCTCTCTTTTTTCATTTTGTTTTTTAAAAGCACATAAAGGCTTGCATATTGCCATATATCGATTATTTTACAGTCGTGTGGTGTGACAAAAATGGGAAAGCTTTGATTCATGTGCGTTCTGGCATGCAGGAGTATACTCAGGGGGTTATTTACCAGGAACGGGCCATGAATTATACAGCAGTTATCTTGGTTGACCTTAGAAAAATGATGTTTACTTAAAAGAAGGGGGGGGGAAAGTATAGAGGGTTACTCATATAGAACTGAAACTTGAGAAGTTTCATTCTGCTGCAGCGATATTCCTCAGTTGAAGGTGTTCCAACCCTATAAAAACTTGCCTCCCTGTTTGTTTTTTGATGAACCTGCATATAAGGCACTTATCACTCCAGAATACTCCATCCACAGAAGACAATAGGTTTGAGAGATTACACTTTCTTCCCCCCCATAAAATATATTTAATCCCAGCAGCAAAATGGAAATCTCTTTGGAGTAAAGAGTAAAGTAGTCATTTTGCTGTTTTATCCCCTTGGAATCCATGAATCACAATGTGATACTTAGCGTCTTAGGGAAGAGCCTCTGATTCAAATCCTACTCAATGACAAGCACCCTCCAAGCATCCTGTGAATCGCTATTTGGGCCATTCTGTCCTTAGCTGAGCTCAGAGCAACATTGTTTATCACAGATGCCAATTCCTCAGAGAGTTCTTGGGTTGTTAATCAGGCTCTGTGCCATTCTGTGAAACCACCCCAGCTTTTACAAGGGATGTTTTTTGACTGTACGGGAGCAGAGCTTTTCCCTATGGTAGATTCATGCTTCATTGTTCTCACTTTTTAAAAGTTGTCATGTGTACTTACTGCTCATGACACGTACCAGGTTGTGGTCTCTGGAGGCTGAAAATGCTTTGTCTAGCCACAGAACAGGTACAGCAGGTGTGGCCTGGATTCACATTGCCCTGCCAATGTGTGTCAAGTCTAAACTAAGGCTGGTTGAAAATTTTTCATTGAAACTAATTTTTTGACAGGAAATTGGATTTTCCACTAACTAAAAATTTTTGTGAAAGATATCTGCTTTCTGTTGAAAATTTTGATGACAAACTAAATGCCTGAAAAATGAAAAGCTTGTGGTTTCAAGTAAAAAAAAAACCACACACAACAATCACACATTTTGACCAAACCCCAGTATTTCTATTCTTAAAGGCACCACAATGCCACATGAGAGTTGTCGCTGGAGCGGTTTTAACCTTCGTCTGCAGCCTGTGGGTGCGGGTCACTTGCCAGGATTCCGATCACCAAGACCATCTATAGATAAGACAGAGCAAGGGACATGGTAAAAGACAGTCCCCTGCAGAACATTTGTTTTTGCCAAAATTTTCAGCAGAAGAAAAACCTGTTGTTGTATTATATCATATAAAAGAAAACTTTGAAACAGAGTGGTTTCAAAAAGGAAAAATTGAAACATTCCATTCCAAAAAAGTCAAAACTGAACATTTCAACCTTATCAGAAAGCTTGATTCCATTTTTTTTCCCAAAATGAAATTTTGTCAAAATCACATTTCCATGAAACATTTCACTTTCGATGCATCAACATTTTCCAACCCCTCCCCCCCCCCCCCCCCCCCCCCCCCCCCCAAAAAAAAACCATTTGTTCATAAAATTTCTGACTGGCACTACTCAAGGTAGAAGTTGAGTTCCATGTAGGAATGATGGCGTTACTGTTTTGCTTTAATTTCAGGCTATAATTCTGTGGTAGTCAGAGTGATTGCCCTTACCCTTCTATACTGATTGTAGCTCAATAACTGACATTTTCAACCTACTTCCCAATTTACTTATGATCCAGTGGCTAGGCCACGAGCCTAGGAGTCTGGCAGACCTGGGTTCTAATCCCAGATTTGCTAGTGACCACGGGCAAGTTGCTTCCCCTCTGTTTCCCCTCTCACTCATTGTCTGCCTTGTCTACTTAGGGCAGGTCTACACTACAGCCTAAGTCAATATAATTTATGTTGGTCAGGGGTGTAAAAAAGTCCCATTTCCCCCCTCCCCCCCAAAGCGATGCAAGTTTTGTGCTCTCCACACCGGCGCTATGTCTCCTGCCGACTTAGCTTCTGCTTCTCGCTGAGGTGGAGTAATTATGCCGAAAGGGAAAGCGCTCCCCCATTGGCACAGTGTTTTCACCAGACAGATGCATTGCGATAGTGTAGGCTCGCCCTTAGATTGTAACCTCTTCAGGACAGGGGATGTATTTCACTACAGTGTGAAGCACAGTGAGATTCTGATCTTGTCTGGGGCTTCTAAGTGCTACTGAACTACACCTAATAATAATTTACAGGACTGTCCTCAAAGTTTGTCCTGCTTTCTTCAGGTTCAGCAGACAGTGCGTGATCGACAAAGACAAGAGAAACCAGTGCAGGTACTGCCGGCTGAAGAAGTGTTTCAGGGCAGGGATGAAGAAAGAAGGTAAATGCTAGAAGGTTTTGTTTCCTCTATCATTTCAAAGCTATGTGCTGTCTCTCACCCTGTTCCCACAGCAGCAGATGTCACAATCGTGTTTCCATTTACAGAGCAGAAGCAGACGGTTCCCCATGAATCACAGTGAGACGTTTATTGCTCTCTCACTGCAGAAAGCCCATTATTTATTTCAGCAGCTGGGGATTTAATGTAGAGCCACAACCCTTTTCTTGAAGCAGAAAAGCCATTTAGTATCTATTTTTCTAAATGAGTTAATAGACCCTTTGCTTCTTTATAGTTAATTCACTGTACGGTACAGAATAATATGACCGTTGTAGGGCATCCTCTGTAACCCACTACAGTGGGAGTATAGTCTTGTGGTCAAGCTAAGAGCCTGTGAAGCACAGGGTGTTTGGATTTCATCCCTGGTTGTACCACTGTGTGACTTTGGGCAAGGCATTTCCATGCTTGAGCTTCTATTTCCCATCCAACCTTTTGACTTATCTATCAAGACTAAAGGCTCCTCAGGGCAGAGGTTCTCTTCCTCTGCATCTACCACAATGTGGCTCTCTTTAAGGCTGGGTGGGAAACAGTTTTCCTATCCCAAGAGAATTGCTGACATTTCAAAAATTTTCACATCCCAAATCAGGATAAAGAATCAAAATCTTGAAAATGTTCGTGAACCAAAAATCTGAAAAAAAAAGAAATTCATTTGGGGTCAATCAAAATGTTTCATGTTGATAATTATTTTAAAACATTTCATTTTGATTTCAACGTTTTTCCTTTAAACTTTTTTAAGATTAATTTCCAAAAAGTTTAGAAACAAAAAGCCATTTTGACTCAGAAAAAAAAAAAAAAAAGAAGGGTGGCGAAGTGGGGGAAAGAAATGTCCTGGTTCAATATTATTGACTGTATTGTTTTAGCTGTTTTGGTCCTAGGATATTAGAGAGACAAGGTGGGTCACATCAGACCTCCCATGGACGAACACTTTTCGTGAAACAATCACCCCGTATATGACCTTTGTCCTCATCATAAAAGGAAACCTGCACAACATCTTCAGAAGATGAGCCTGGGAGCTAAAATTCACGGCTTTGCTAAACACTCAAATTCATGGCCATAAAGACACTGGATTTATGGTTTATTACACCAATCTGTACCCCTCAAATCCCCCTTTTTTGTCCTATGTCCGCAGAGGCGTTAATGGGCCACTTCACCTTGAACGGTCTCTTGCAATACGTGTTAACTACTTATGCTAAACAATCTGCTCCACCTTGGCTTTAGCTGTGACACTCTGAGCACTTTTCTCCAAAGTGGCAAAGAGCTCTGAGCAGCTTGAAAGCTCGTCTCTTTCACCCACAGAAGTTGTTTCAGTAAAAAAATATGACCTCACCCACCTTGTCTCTCAGGTTCAAGATTGTCCAAATGGGATGTTTCAACAATTATGAAACCATTTTAACCAAAATAGTCTTGAGTCTGGTGTTTCGTCAAACCTGACACTGTTTAATGAAGAGTTTTGCTTTCAACTAATCAGCATTTTCTGACAAAAAGGTTTGTCAGAAAATTTCCGACTCTAATACATGTAATAATAAGACTTGCCTGCTTCAGAGGAGTGTTTTGAGATTTAATTTACTGATGAAGTGGTGGTCCCTTGTGGTCTATGACTCTATGAATGTGATACTAGCCCTGTATTAACCTGGAATCAGGAGAGTTATAGAATTATAGGACTAGAAGGGACGTCGAGAGGTCATCTAGTCCAGTCCCCTGCCCCCACAGGAGGACTAAGTATTATCTAGAAGTGTAAAGCATTATTTAATATATGTCCAGGACTTCTCCTGTTTATGTGCGGCACCAACACGTCCCTCATAGCTCTCTCAACAATTAGGTCTTGATCATGCTCCCATTGAGATTGATGGTGAAACTGCTATTGGCTTTATTGGAACAGGATGGAAGCCCTCACTAGTGTTGCTATCAGCCTCGGCATCTGTTTGGAGACTGGCCATTCAACTCCAGCTTGTTCTATCGAATATTATCAGATGCACTTTGACACACTTCCAACTGGTTCACAAGTGAAGAGATAACTGGGGTATTATGATGTGTCTAAGCAGCATCAGTTGGCAGGAAAGACCTTTGTACCAAGATGCTGTCAAAGATTAGGAAAAAGCTTCAGCTGGGATGCTGCTTGAAAGCCTTGAACAGCTACTTTACCTGAGTTACACCGTGAAAAACACTGCCTTGCTATTTACTATGGTATCTCCAGTACGTGATCATCTATCACCTGCTTGATGGGATATTGCTGGTGATACTTCTGTACCTCAATTGTAAGCTCTTTGGGCAAGGGCTGTCTTTTAGCTCTGATTGATTCCACTCTCACTGTGACCGGATTCTCTGCCTGCCTACACATTGAATACATGTGAAATCTCAGGCTGTTTGGTTGGGCAGCTGAAGAAAAATACCATGTTCTTTGTCAGATATCTTAAGGGTGAATAATCTATGCCAATACATTAAGAACACTGGGTGAAATCCTGGCTTCACTGATCTCAGTGGGAATTTTCCCATTGACTTCAGCGGAGCCAGGACTTTAACCATTGAGATCAAATCTCTTGCCAAACGTTTGACTGTCTTCCCTAGACAAAATTAGTGAGCTAAAATTTGGCAGAGGAATTGTTTTGTGATAGGAAGCAGCAAGAACATAACTTAAATGTTAGCAAAGAGTGGATGGAGTGGTTACAAGAGCTGGCATGTTTCATTGTCTGGAAATATTGATATCTAGTTGATCAGCACTATACTTGGTTTGTGGCTTCATTTTTAAAAATAGATTTTACAATAATGGTTGTAAAACTTTGGCTTACTCATTTAATATTGACTGCAGCTTGGTGACTCTCTCTAAGTTCCACATCATCAAATTATTTGAAGTTCAACTTATGAGTACACTGCTGATTTTGTGACTTTTTTGCAAACCGGTAGGAAATATTTTGATGAGCCTAGAGCAGTGTCTTGACTGACTGCACACCATACTGAATGCAAAAAGAGTACATCATTTTCTTGCACGATGGTGTGCACAAAAATTCAAATCCATTTCTTAACTCTGAATAATTCTAGGTAATATTCAGCTTTATGAAAAAATCTTGTCTTCTGATTGTTCAATAGCTACGGTAATAGTGGAAACATTTGTGCATTGCCTTTTGGTTACATACACCCACTATGTCACCATAACACACTGAGACAATTAGACACAAGTCTGTGGAATTTGGCACGTTCTTCATTACTATATTTTAGCAAGCTTAATTGTAATAGCAACCAGGCTTTCCAGAATGTGGCAATAGCACTGTCTTCTCACCGTACATGGAAGAGATCTGACATATTTAGTATTCAGACTCAGAACATGCCTTGGGTGTGGTATTACGAGGCTGTATTATCATCACTACAGAGTATGATCACCACTGCCAGACCTACTGCTGAATATATTCAGGTGCAAGCCTGGAAACTTTGTGTTCCTAAAATGTTTTCATCTTGACGAAACTCATCAATATCCTGGAATGTTGGGTCTGGAGTACAATAATAGAGCTGCATGGGAACTGGTTTTTCCATCCTGCAAATATTTTTGTGTTCAGAATTTTTCCTGTCTAATTCTGTCTAAAATCAGACAGAAAAGTCAAAATCTCAAAAATATTCATGAACCAACACATACATCTATTTTCTTTGGTTGGGGTCAGATGAAATGTTTGGTTTCAATACAGTAATTTCAAAATGTTTTTTGTTTATTTGTAAAATGTAATGAGTGTTTGATTTCAACTTTTTCCGGACTAATTAGGTTAAATTTTTAATTGAAAAGTCATTTCAAACCACAAAAGCTGGAATTTGACATTTTAAAAATAATTCTGAAAATTTCAAAACTGTATTTCTTGACATTTTTGCAAGTTGAGAAATTCATCAAACCCAATCCTATTTCCCAAGCAGATCTGGTTTTGACAAACTGGCATTTTGGGATTTAGGGAACCAGGATGATGTTATCCAAACTGGCATTTGCCAGGACCTAAGGCTGCCATCTGTTTTTGTGAAAAGTGGCATTGGATTTCTGACCTTGGTTTTATATCTCATCTGAAAGATGCCCAAAATGAGTTGTATGCTCCAAACTAAAGAATTTGGCTTAAAGAATTAGTAAATGGTAAAGTCTCATTGACTTCAAACAGAGCAAAATTAGGCCAAAATTGAGCACTTCTGAAAATCCTACTATAGAATCTCTGACAATAGAGCACTATTTTAAAAACCTGTATCATATTAGTACATTTTAATAACACATTTTAATGACCATAGAGTAAGCAACATCTGAAATTGTGGAGCAAAAGCACTGGACTATAACCACTTCTCCTTACTGTTTCAAGTTGTTCAAGGAACTGATGTGGGAGACTAGAACGTGGCCAGACATTCTCAGGCGACTGGTTGAACTGGCTTACGAGACTGCAGCAGGATATATATAGGTTGATTAGTTGAAAGGCATTAAATATTTCTTAGCTCATTGGTAGAATTGACTAGAGGTAACAGAATGTGATTAGAAGTTTCCAGGCTGCAGATTGAAGTGACAGGGAGGAGAATGGAGTGTACTTAGAGGTTCTCAGGGCACTAGTTGAATGTTTGTAGTGAAGAATTGCTCTGAGGTTGCTGACGGAGGGGAAAGGGTTCTTAGGTCACTGGTGGAATTGACACAGGAGAATGGGAGGTGACTAGGTGTGGAGATCAAATGAATATACCCTATTGTAATTTTCACATTCATTCTCATTCCTGATTTAATATCTTTGGGTAGGCGAAGCTTTGATCCCTGCTTTCTTTCACAATGCTTCCATGTAAGTTTTCTACCACTGTACACTTTACCTTACATGAAAGGAGGAAGTGTATCTAATGCTCAGGAATCAGGACACTGGGAGCTGTTTTTAGCCCTGGCACTAGGATGACCAGATGTCCTGTTTTTATAGGGACAGTCCCATATTTTGGGACTTTTTCTTATAAAGGCG